CCCCTCTCCCCCCAGCCTCTCCGTCAAGTCCAAGGAAAGGAAAAGGCACCAGATCCTTCTCTCCCCAGTGCCTGGAAAATAAGTGGGAAGAAATCAGGACCAAGTACACAGAAGCTCTCAGAGGGTGGGCAGCAGTAGTGTCCCCACCTTACCCAAGAGCCAACACAAACACCAGGGGATATGGAACACCCCAACATCAGCAGGTACCGCAGGGTGAAGTGCTTCTTTGCTGGGGACACTGGGGGTGAGGAGCCCCACCCAGGAGGAGCCTAGTTCGCAGGCTGCGGAGGCAGGACGCCTCTGCCGGATCACACCACCCACTCACACCCCCGGACTGACAGCACTCCCATCAAACGCCTCCAGCCACACACACGTGGAGGATGCTGACATGAGGAGCGAGTCGCTGCGGAACCGATAACGCCCGGTTTCCTGTCTCTCCCACGTGGATTCTCTGATGTCTAATAGCAAGGCTGAGCTGCACTGCAGAGGGAAAACTAGCAGCACCCTCCTCCCCAACAGCCAGAGCCTGTAGCAAGCCACAACCTTAGAGAAAACTACCACACCTGCTACCTACCACAACTGACACCATCCAGCAAGTTCAAGGTGGAGAGAAGACTTGCAAATAAACAGTAAGCTTACACAAGCCTTCATTTCCTCAGAAAAGGATATTTAGTGCACAGAGGTATCTCCAGCTTCCTTTGTTTGCTCTAGAAACACTGACATGACCTGAACAGCATGACCAGGAGGCTGCTGGTGCAACAGCCAGGTCCAGCTCAGGTACCTCTGTAGCTGGTACAAGCTGGCATCTAGCATGGGCTGTGTCCTCCAGACTTCGGGGTGGAATCTTCTCTCCTGGGCAGAAACACTTTGAACCATGCTCACCTCTGTCTAGCCTGGCATTCTACAGCAGCCAGTTGCACAGCTCAGTTGCATATGGGTGGGGGAAGAAGAACAAATGTCACCATGTTTGTCCCCATCCTGCTGCCTGAGCAGGCTTCTCGGTCCTCCCCTTCCTTCCTACCATGAGACACCACAGTTCAGGACTCTCTACTCCTCTGTCCTGCACATACTAGGTCTCCTTCAGACAGCTCTTTCCTAAAACAGACCAAATCTCTCTTTGGACAGAGCCAGCCCAGGGAGCAGGGATTCAGCCCCTCTCCCTAAACCCACACAGCATCCCTGGGGGTTCCCAGCTCACCTGCTACCTCTCCACAGGCATCCTTACAAGACCAGCCCGCTCCCTGCGTTCTGCCAACAGTGTTAACAGTGTCAGCCAAGCGAGTGGCCAAGGGCAGAGGGGCCTGGGCTCCAGACACCTTCCCCACCGAGCTGGCTGGGCTCAGGCTGGATCCCTCAGCCCCCGCTGCTCTTCTGCCAGCGCGCAGGAGGCAGAGCAGAGTGGCCCTGTCTGGCGTTGCAGCTCCAGCCAAAGGACACGAGCAGAGCCGGGAGCTGGTGGACAGCAAAGAGCAATTTCGTTAGTGCTCAGCAAAGCAAAGTGTCTCTTGAAAGCCCTAGTGACAGTCAGGAAGTTGGGTTGGGTGTTTTGTTTTGCATTTTAAGAAGCCTGCAGGGACACGGGCAACCTGCAACGATCATTTTCAGATAGGAGCTCAAGAGAAACTCACGGTTTTCAGCAACCATTTACCCTCCTTTGTCCTTGATTTAAAATTTGCCAGGAGGCTGCTGACAAGAGGCACTGAAACAGGCAGTGACCACTGCCTTAAGTGCAAAGGAGGTTTGCTGCAACACCTCCCCAGTACATCACTCACAGAGAACCCCACACCAGTGCCTGGGGATGGTTTTAAGAGCAAAAACATGACTTCCAAGCTGACAGCCCCTGCGCACAAAGAGCGACTGTGCAGTGACAACAGAGCAGCCTGGGGCACAGGAGCTGGCTGACCTCTGCTACAGCTCTTGACGGCAGATTTTTATTGTTCACCACTTTCTCGAAGCACAGGCATGGAGAGAAAAGCAACTAAGACACTCGGCTCAAAATGCAAACGCAGGCAGGGAGCTCCACCAGCACAGCAGGGAAAAGACAACCTGCCAGAGGGACTGCAGCTCAGCACTGCCAGGCTGGGGGAAGGAAGGACCAGAGCAAGGGCCATCCCTCCCAGCAGTGACAGCAAGAGGTGCTGGAGCCCTCGGTCACCACCACACAGGCTTTCCGATAGGAAGCTGCTCCTAGCACGCAGCACAGCAGGCCAGTTCTCCACTCTGCACGGTCAAGCTGAAATCCCTCATCTTGCTTTCCAGGGTAGCCAAAGAAAGCACACAGCTACAGCTTTGCAGCCAGCGAGGCCAGGTCTCCAGGGATTGGGCTGCAGCTGGAAAATAATACTCCCAAGGCCTGTCAGGAGCGCTGCTTGCTGGGGACACTGCTCGCCTCACCCTCTGCCATGCACGCAGCAAAGTGGGGAGCCCTCTCAAAACACCCCACTCCAGAAAACCCACATATCCTATTGGACATGGGGCTCCATGGGCTGCTCGTGCCCTCAGGGACACAGCTCCTGCTCTGAAAGGCTGAGGTGTGAAGGATAAGCACACTGAGGTGGTTCTGCTGCCGAGAGAGTTGGCAGGCTGGCTTCTCCCAGCACCCTTGCAAGCTGTCAGTACAGATCCACGCTGCTCCTCAGCAGAACTGGCCTGTCCTGGAGAGCCACACAACATGCAATGACTGCAGGACTCGGGGCCAGGCTCTCCCAGGTTCCTACCAGGCCAATGTCACGGGGCCCTGGGGAGGGCTCCCCAGCACCAGCAGCTTCCTCAGACATTTTAGTAGTCTCTGACAGATGAAACTAGCACCCTATGCTGCACCTGCCTGGTGGGTATGCAAATCCCTCCCCCAACCATTCACCTAAGCAGTGCAGGTGACAAACCACAATTCTCCAGCTTGCCCTGAGCAGGGAGCCAAGGGATGGTGGGGAAAATGCCATGCACCGGCCCCTCAATTCAGAGGCGAAAAAACAAAAGCATCAAAAAGCTCCATGGTTTTCTGCCAAAAACCATTGCTGCTCACCACCAGCTGCCCAGCCACCAGCTCCCCAGCCGTGGCCCGCAGCTGGCCTCACGTGATGGTGAAGTGGATGCACACAGTAGGAGTGGCTGTAGTGACAGCGTTACAGCCTCTGTCCGACACACAGCTAAGCCCAGCAAATCCCAACGCTCTGCAGCTCTCATTTACAAACCCCACACGCTCTGCACAGGTACGCAGGCTTCAGCCAGAGCTCGGTGACTGTGGCCGCAGGGAAAAAACACCTGGAGGGAGACAGTTTAGTGAGCACGGGGTTTCAGAACTCTCTGATGTCCACCAGCGCAAGGATGGGCCTGCACAAAGGACAGGGAGAGCTCTTCTTACACCAGCCCCCATTCAGGCTGGAAGCCCACCTCCCTAGAGCCAGCTCTGCTGCTATTTCAGCACAGATATTCCCACTGAGGAAGCAGTCCTGGCAGGACAAAGCAGGACTTTGTCCCATCCTGCTTCAGTCCCTGCAGCTGCCCTGGAGTGTCAGGACTTCACTAGCTCTGCACACACCTGGAAGAAGTGCTGTGAGCCAAAGCCCAGGCCCTACCTACTGGTTGTTATTTCATTCCTCTAACAGGTCCATAAACCAGGGATAATTAAATCTCCCCTAAACTCTCTTCCATTTAAAATAAAAATCTATAGTCCCTATTTCATTAGCTGGCTCTGGGTTTTACAGCTTGATCAATTCCCCTCGCAGAGCCCTGGTCCCAGGCAGGCAGTCACAAACACACAGCGGGCAGCTTCCACGCTGAAAATCAATGGGGACTCACAAAGTCTCTTCTCCCCGTTCTTTGTTCCTCACTCACTAAGGGGGAGCCACACGGAGTGGCAGGTAGGGACAGCATGTTTCACAGCTCAAGGGAACTGTCACTGCCATGCATGGCTTCAGAGGCCAGATTTAGCGCCTAGCAAGAGCAGAGGCAGCAGCAACGCTCCCCCTTCAGCAAAGGGAGAGCTCAGCATGGGGCCCCAAAAACACAGCCACAACACCAAAGGCAAGACAGCCCAGCACGCAGACAGGGTGACACCTCTCCATGCATTCCAAGGTGAAGGGGGACAAGGCTCAGCTCTCAGAGCCAACAGCTGGAGTCAGAGCACTCCATAAGCACCAACTGAGAACCAAGAGCAGCCACCACCACTCTGACCTCCCTGTGCACCAAGAGGAAGAGACTCATCGTGAGACCCAAGTGCATGGACTCCCCATTTTGGGCCCTTCCTGGCCCTCTGCTGCTGCCCTGCCACACACCACCTTCCCTCCCCAAGTGTGCCAGGCCAGTGGCTGGGACAGCCAGGGCTCCAGATGGCTCTTGCCACCCCTGAATGCATCTCCCTTCACTGCTGCAGGGAGCTACCAGCCCCTGGCAGCTGAAGGAGGGACCACAGCAGCAGCAAGAGCTGCACAGACGGAGAATGGGCACGGAGCAGAGATCTGCAGGACCTTGGTGCCACCCAGCACCCATCAACATTATTTCCCTCTGCTCCAGGCATGCATCCCCTCTCCTCACCTTTGCCCAGACAAAAAGCAGCAAGATGTCACAGTCCCTGTCCTGCCAGTGCCAGGCTGTGCTGTGGAGGCAGCCCCAGTGAGCTCTACCCCAGCTGCACAACACCAGTGATGGACAAACCACACTGCCTAGGCCTGAACCCCAATCTCCACAAACAGGCCAGCCAGAGGACACTGGAGCAGGTCACTGGGACACAGGAAAAGCCACGTGTCAGCACACCCAACACCCAAAAAGGCTGGAGGGGACAAAGCCCTACCACCCCACCATGGCTGCTCACATGCCTGCGTGCAGGGGTGTGACACCAGAGTCCCTAACACACCTGGGTGGCTTCCACCTCACCTCCCACCCCAATACCTGCCCCAGCTCCACTCCTGCCCTGAGTGGAAGGACATAGAGGGGCCACAGTTCACCAGCTAAACCAAGCCCACCACCGGAGGGGTGTGACGCTCGGCCAGCCTCAAAACAAACACCCAAAGGTGACGAACAAAGGCACCAGGCAGCCACTCCGCATTAGCAGTATTTTTAGACACCGCTATGGAGCCGGCCTTATTATTTTCATTGCAACGTGCATAATTACCCACCATGCACTGCAGTGACATCAGACACAGCCTGCTCCCCTCCAACAGCCGGCAAAGCCGGCACCCACTCCTCCTCTCGGGGCCTCGGGGACTGACCTGTCCCTCCAGGCTTGCACTAGGGGGACTCGAGGTGCTGGGGAGTCAGAGCCAGCAGTGGAGCAGAAATGGGTGCAGGTGACAGAGGGCCTGAGCAAGGCAGTGACACAAGAGAGAGAAAGCAAGCACAGGGACAAGCTCCAGAGCTGCAGACACGCGTGGCCGGCTGTGTCAGAGCACGGGGCCGCTGCAGAGCTCATGGCAGAGAAGCCAGCACAAAACCAAGCCGTGCCAACAGCAAGTGCGTCCCTTGCATGCA